AAATGTGTTATAGAAAGCAATTTTCTTCGAACATTTAAAAATATGTTAGTATTTTGAACGTTGAAATAATTTTAAAAATGTGTTATAGAAAGCAATTTTCTTCGAACATTTAAAAATATGTTAGTATTTTGAACGTTGAAATAATTTTAAAAATGTGTTATAGAAAGCAATTTTCTTCGAACATTTAAAAATATGTTAGTATTTTGAACGTTGAAATAATTTTAAAAATGTGTTATAGAAAGCAATTTTCTTCGAACATTTAAAAATATGTTAGTATTTTGAACGTTGAAATAATTTTAAAAATGTGTTATAGAAAGCAATTTTCTTCGAACATTTAAAAATATGTTAGTATTTTGAACGTTGAAATAATTTTAAAAATGTGTTATAGAAAGCAATTTTCTTCGAACATTTAAAAATATGTTAGTATTTTGAACGTTGAAATAATTTTAAAAATGTGTTATAGAAAACACTTTGTCTCAGAAATTAACCGCTAGAATCTTTTGACTTTTTATATTAGTTGAGTACTGGAACTTAAGTTCTGTGCGAACGCTGGCTGAGTTTCACTACTGACTTTCGTAAGTCCGCCATAATCACCTTGTTTCGTGCCGTGTGACTTAAATCTTTTTGAAAGCGAAAGTCTCGTTGAAAAGGAACACTCAGACCACCAAAATCTCTTACATGTGCTTTCCTTCAGTGCACTTAGCTTTTACGTCGACTTTCCGAACGATTCCTTCCGCTTGAACTGATGACGACACCCGCCATAGAAATAATGAGACCGATCCTTTTGTTGCGACGAAAGATGTCACTTGTAGACTGTGATTCAGATTGGTTCTTAGCCCATTTAACAACGGAGATTCAACTTACAGGTCGAATAAGGTGTGAAAAATGATCGTGTACTGCCAATGTACGGGCATTTGGAAGGAGAATATGGTGATACTGATATCATTTTGAAATATTCCGGGAGAGATTTGGGAAAACCTCGAAGGCACTCCATACAATTACCGATAAAAAAGACTGGGAATAACTTCAGTAGCTGAGCTACCATCAGCTTTTCAAGTATAACTGTAAGTCATGAGGCTATTATTATTATTATTATTATTATTATTATTATTAATGTTTTCATATATAAGACAGGAAGAAAAATAATTCAGAACAGCTTCGCTTTATGAATGTCATTGAAAGAAGTTGAACTATACTTACCGCTCAACACTAATTTATTTTGAAATCTTGCTTTATTTTTGTAAATGATTAAAGGAACGAAGATAAAGTCTGTAAAATATATAAAAATTAGCATCTGAAGTGCTCTGAACGTATTAGAGAAAAATACGTTTCAAGCAATGAAAATAATTATCACATTATATGCAACCAGACACTTTTTAGGTGCATTAGGTTATTTTATATCTCGAGACATGGCTGTTCCCCTCCTGCCTGTTGAGATATCTTGCGATGTTCGATATATTCGATGAGCTGTTTCCATATCGAGGTAATCCTATCGCATGACTAAGATCATAATTCGATACTTAATTCGGAAGCTTCACAGGTCTGAGATCTTAATGCACGTTAATAGTACTAGAAGCTGCGAAAACGTATTTAAGTTCACTGGTACGTGATAGAAACGTGTTTTTTTTTGTAAGACTTGATGTTCTCACAGCGGTGAGTATGAAGATTTCCGTCTTCTGGGTTGTTGCGCTGTGTAGTCTGGGTGATGTTAACCAACGTTTTAGAGGTCATACTGCCTCCGTCATCGCCCTGATGATGGAGGCAGTATGACCTCTGAAACGTTGGTTAACATCGACCAGACTACACAGCGCAACAACCCAGAAGACGGAAATCTTCGTGGTTTTTTTGTTTTTGTTTTTTTTAGTTTTTTTTGCAATTATCAGTCTCCCAGTTCCATAATATCAGAGAAGTGTAACAAAGCATTTGTTGAATAAATAGCTCCCTAAACTAAAAATGGTGCTCTTATGGTGTAACATCGCCGGAAAGTCTGATTAATGCAATGGGTAAGGAGTGAAGAAGTCGTTTGATTTGGCTCGGTTTGGAGTGCGGTATTGCTGTGTTCACGTAGCAGTTGTTTGTTGCTATGACTACGGAGTCACAGCAAGGAAACGCGAGAGAGAAGATGATTTCCTCTTCCATCACCTTGATGGTTCCGCGTGCTGCTGCTCCAGAAACCAAGTAGGCTGTATGTTACCATAGCAACCCAAAATATGGAATAGAGTAGAGAAAAATTATTCCATCTCAAGACAGAATCTCTCTGTCCTTGTCTGTCTTCTCTGCGCTCCACTTCAGTGTTTTATGTAAAAAGGGAACAATGGACTGCTTGCTTGATTTCTGTGTAGAGATGTGTACACATTGAAAAGGTGGGGGGGTTGTTTTAACTTTCTAGAAAAGGTGCCCTTCTTCAGAACCTTTGTCTCAGACAGCTTTGGGGCCATTTGCTGTTGACCATGAAGGACGTAAGGTTTTCATGTCGGTGAAGATATCGATGTTGGTTTTCTACGCTGTAACACTTTGTGTATGTATACCAACATTTCGGAGAAAGATATTTTTTTCTGCCTTCAGTGCACAAGATGGGGAGAATAATATTAAAAAGGGCGCTTAAAATGCCGCTATCTTCAGTTCTGAATATATTTTCTCTAAAATTTTGGCATGCACTTAAATTTCTATATGACTTTACATCCAAGATAAACGGAATTGACATATTTAAATAAAAATGGCTCTGTTTCATGAAGTTATTTAATTTACAAGGCTTTCTTAAATGAAAAGAACAGAATGTTAAGGGAAGTCCCTGGACTAAACTCCATCTTAAAAAGTAAGAGTACCCTACGCTCAGATAGTCAATAAATTCCCTCATTTTATAGAACCCAATGTTTAAATTGCCTTATCCACAAGAGCCCCCCAAACTTTTGTTTTTCTACGATCCATTCTAATGTTATCCTCCAATTGCTCTCATGTTTTCCGAGTGGTCTCTTATTTTATGGATTTTCAACAAAAACTGAGTATGCATTTTTTATTTCGCTCATGCAAAACATGCCTCGCACGTGATTTCATCATAACTATTTGGTTAAGAGCACAAACTATTGACTTTCTCATTATTAATTTTCTCCATCCTCCCGTCACTTCATATCTCTCTTCTAAGCACCCTGTTCTCATGCAGCCTCAGTCCGTGTTCTCCCCTGAAAGCGAAGAGGCAGATACGAGATGCACGGAATTAAAATCAAAATGCGGGCGTAACTCTACTGTCTCTGGCAGCCCTCTCCAGTGACGTCGGCCTGATTTTGTTTTGTAAACTTCGAGGGCATTATTGCCAGAACATGCATGTAGTTACCGGTGCGTCATGTGTGAACACGATATCTCCATATAGACGCATCTCGCCGTGACATCAGTCCTTTTATACTGTGTCTTGTAATGATATCGCCTATACTACAACGCCGCGGTACGCTCGGCTCGAGGTGTTTGTCGCCCACCATGCGTACTGAGATGTAGCTTCTGGTCTATTGTTTTAAAGATGCGTCTAGTGTAGTGTGGGCCCCATAAGGAACTCCGAAAGTGGCCCATATTTTAGTGCAGACTGCACACACACACAATGACGGAGGACGTACTTGGTTAGATTCCAGGTTCTCACGGCAGCGAATATGAGTTGAATAATCAGGAATTACCAGAACTGATAACGCAATCTCTTATTATGTCTATTTATAATAACTAGACCTACGTGGAAATCCTTACAGAATTAAGAATTATTACTTAAGTACAGAAAATCCATGTTAAGTGGGTCCCGTGTCATCACAGAACTTCTCGTCCTTGGGTTGTGGTTGGAGGGGAAGACCTCCGGATATGTAGGGTAAACCCTAATAATTTGCAAATAAGCAATAGTGGACAGACGACAAGGGGTTTCTCCTAGGCATGAGAGTAGAACGAGGGGCTAACAACGCCCCAAACTAACTAACTAAGTAACTAGATGGCTTACCGAACCCGAAGGTTCATCACCGAATTAACCAAAGCCCTCCACCGGACCCTGTCCTGGGCCAACAAAATCCAGTCTCCTTCAACGCCTATCTCCCATAGATCTTGCCTGAGATTATCCTTCCATCTACGTCTAGGTCTCCCCAGCGGTCTCTTCTCTTCAGGTTTCCCAACCAGTACCCGGTGCACACCTCTTGGCCCATCCATGCGTGCTATATGCCCGGCCCATCTCAATATTCTCGACTTAATCACCCTGACAATACTGGGGGAGCAGTACAGATTTTTAAGCTCGTCATTGTGCAGTTTTCTCCACGCCCCATCATCTTCCCTCTTAGGCCCAAATATCCTCCTCAACACCCGATTCTCAAACACCTGCAATCTGTGTTCCTCCCTCTAACAACTCCCCACCGTAACAAACCAACATATTTCGAAATGTTACACAAAGCATTTAGAAAAAATGACTTGTCAGTAAAGTATCTTAAATATAATATATTTTTCTAGATTTGTGTGTTAAATATCGGGTTCATATTTTACGTCGACAAATAAAGACGTCGCTGCAAACCATGTCTATTAACTCCGTACAGAGCTTCCAATGTTTGCATGCTCTACATGGATTCAGTTTTGCGTAGGTTTCCTACGGAGCGTAATTCTCAGACTGAGACGCTGTGTGGTGCAGCGATGCGAAAGACCGGTCTGCATTCATTTGTGCAACGCAAGTGAGACGTGAAAATTTTGAACTGCTATCGTCCAAATACGTACGAATTTTAAACCGCTATCAATATTTAATGCTCCGTTGTCTCTTATAGATTGCTTCTAGTTAAAACATGTTACACGACTCTTTACTGGACATTCGTTGTAGTAAAGTAAGCGTCTTTGAGGTTACGCAACACTAGAATTCAGAAGGGAGTCATCATCTGTTTGAAGTTTCAACACCTGTTTTGACAAAGCCATAAATGTGACATATTCAAAAGCGTTTTAAATAACTTACAAACACGGAAACACAGTTACAACTACTGTTTTTACTGTGCCGACAGCTGCTGCGTCTTTCGTGGGCCCATCGTTCCTGAAGGAACCCCCGTCACGTGTGGACTTCGCGAACGAGACGGGAGCTCGCATTGACTGTTCTGCTGAAGGCAGTCCTCCCCCCAACATCAGCTGGCTGTCTGGGGACGGGAAATCAGTGGGACCGATTCCTCAGACCAGGGAACTTCTGGCTAATGGTTCCTTGCTGTTCCCGCCATTCCGTCCCAGCGGCTACAGGCACGACGTTCACGCGGCAACTTACCGATGTGTGGCCGATAATTCTGTCGGGCGTATACACAGCCGTGACGTCAGAGTCAGAGCAGGTAAGACTGGTGACGTCACACTTACCAATTACGATACAACTGTTTATTATTATTATTAGTGTTCTGTCTGACGACAGGTCCATATGAACAGGATCCTTCCATCCTTTCCTCGGACTGGGACCTGTTCATATACGTTCTTGGCAGATGATCCAGAAGTGGTTTGCCATTGCCTTCTTCTGTGTGTGAATGGGATGCCACGGAGAAACCGGGGAAGCCCCCGGAGGAAAACTCCGTGTTGCCTAGACCACGTCCTTGCCCAACACAAGTTATAAATTCGGGCACCGCCGGGAATCGAACCCGAGACCCCAGGATTACAAGGCCAGCGATCTAACCGCTAGACCACCGTGGCGTGCGATACAACTGTTACTATAGAACTATTACAGATGGTTCTTATGTGCTTTTCCTAGCTGTAGAACTTGACTTGTACTCTTTGTTTTTCAAATATTAATTGAGCGTGAAAGATCTACAGAATCGAAATAGAATCTGATATAGAAGATAAAACGAAAGTGGGATTTGCAGCCTTTGATAGATGATAACATTTCCTTAACATGGCTGCCCACTAGTGTGGTAGATGTTCCCCAAAGTTTCAGAGGTACTTTCTACCTCCATCTTTAAGTGATAGAGGCGCCAAGCACGTCGATCTTCGTGAATGGCCTGCCTAATCTTCGTAACATTTTCGGGCGTTGTGCTCGAAGATGGTCGTCCAGAACGCTCGTCATCATCGACAGAGGTTCGGCCATTTTTAAAACGTGAATGCCACACAAAAGTTTGTGCACGACCCATTGCGGACTCCCCAAATGCTTTGCTTTAGCATTTCATAGGTTTCCGTAGCCGTCTTGGCGAGTCTTTGGCAAAATTTGATGCACACGCCATTCCGAAATCGCAGGAGGGTCGGTGTAATGCACTACCAAAACGCCCGTAACTAAGAAACAAATGCTAATTCGATGATGCCGGCTGGCACACTGATTCACTATGAATGTAGGTCGCACCCCCTAAAGGCAGAAGCTCGTACTACATCCGGTTCGCCCTCTATTGACACAGTCTTGAAACTTTTCGATCGTACCTCGTAGCGTAATATTTGAATGGCGTCCACTAACTCAGCTAAATTTAACGGATGGTAATTATAATCCAACCTAACTTCTGGCGGTCAGTTGCAAAATTTATGTGGCAAACCTCAATGGAATTTTGTTAAGGACTAGTTTACAAGTACGCTGTGACAAAGCAGTTCAATTTACGTGATGGAAATATTGATAACACGTTGGGATTTGAGTTTACATTGTGGTATAGGCCTATTCAGATATCAGAAATTACAACATTTCTAAAGACGACCGTGGATATGGAATAATAAAAACAATTAAAATGAGAATTTTAGTTTCTTTATGCCCTGAATACAAGTCAACATAGAAAGATTTAGAATTGATTTGTTTAGCCAACTGGGCTAAAGTTTAATGCTATATCAGAATTAAAGCAAACTTGTCAACACGTCAAAATACGAATAGATCACAACGGATTTTATTCCAGTACGTGTGTGGGTGTGTGCGGGAGGGGTGGGCTTTGAAAATCAATCAACGCAATCTGAATCTCATTGCAGTTTTATATTTAGCTTCCTAATTACCAATATTGTCGGTCCCTCAATAAACAGAACTTCATTTTCCAACTAAGTATCGTCTATAAGCAACATTTTTTTGTTTTCCTTCAAAATCCCTTCAGGGAGCTAAGCAAAGCAAACAACAAACCAGTGCTCCTTTGTGAAGATGGGGTGAGGTAAGAACTGAGAGAGTTGTTATGCAAATAAGAAAATATATGTAAATATAAATTTCTCTTGTGCCATTTGTGGCGATCTGTTATCTTATTTTCCTTTAATTATTCTTATTCGACTTCTACATACTCTCTTCAACTGTGTAGGAACCTGAAGACGGAGATAGAGTCCCATCTCCGAAACGTCGTTTTACGTTTTATATTTACTAGACGATGGATAATATCCAAGAAAGGTCCGGAGATAGGGATTAGCTCTATCTAGTGGGCCAAACTGTGTAGGAACTTGAAGACGGAGATAGAGTCCCATCTCCGAAACGTCGTTTTACGTTTTATATTTACTAGACGATGGATAATATCCTAGGAAATTTTTATTCAATTGAATCTTCTTTGGCCTTGGAAATATTTCTTAAATTATTAATCCTTTTACATATTAGTAATATTTATTAGATGGAGGATAAGCTTGTCGCAAGACCTGTGCCAGAAGATCAAAACACAAAATAACATCTAAGTCTCGAGTGTGATATGGATAAGCGATCCCTTTGTTTGAGCTGTAGACGACTCGCGTAGCAACTGCGATTTGTGATCGCTGTATTTTGATTTTACCGACCCTAATTTACAATCAATGATGGCGAACCTGTTGCTCTCCAATAGAAATGAAGGACGTTGGTGTTATCTTCATCCCCTCAGCCCTCGTAACCATCGAAACCACCACCCTAACCGCACCCTATCATTGAGATCGCTGTGGGACAATCAGTTTTGATTAATAAATCGTTATATTTGGCATCGTACACCAGCCAGCCAGCTAGTTATGTCTCCTCAGGCAACTTAATCCGCTCTCACCCATATGCCCTTATTGTTTTCAGTCTCCGTATTAGATTCTAATAGTTTTTCAACAGTCCATTCCAATTTCTGGACGTCAGGGGTTAGTAATTAACGTCTATGCCTTTTAGTTGGGCGTTCTCGGGCAATACAATGGTTGTTTTTATGGTTTCCTTCAGTCCCTCCACTAAAATGGTGAAATATCTTTAAATAGGCTGCGATCCGTACCATCCGTGCCCTTCAAAATCCATTATCTAAATTTATTCTCCTACAATAATATACGACGTTAAGCGCCGTTGGATGGAACAAGAATTAAGGTAAATAAATTATAATTGGCTTTATTGTTATCGACTGTGGTATTCTGGGCTGTGACGCCATGTGGCTTCTTTTCTACACTGAAGATGGGGACAAAGATGGAGGCAAAATTTTTCTCCAAAATTTTTGTAACCATCTACAAGACCACATGGCGTCACATCCCGTAAGACCTTATTTAGCGAGTCTGTATTATACAGATCGATATGATGATGTCGAAAGCCTTTGAGTTCGTCGCATATTATTATAATGCGTCTGTACACAACACTCCTTTAATTAAAACTACATGTTTAAGCCATATTTATGATTAAAATGTTATAACTTCCCCGCGTTAAACCAGGCAATTTGGAGTTGCCACGGTAAGATTATTGTGTAGTTGACAATTGAAGAAAATGTCGCGGTGTGTGCCCCGTAGAGCCTGGGTAGTTATGGAGATAATGCGGATGATCGGTAGGTGTAGGTAATTATGACCTGAGGATGGGTTTATGACCCGAAACGTCGCCACAAGTTAATTGAATATAAGGCATAAAGTGAAACTTTTGTTAGCAATTGTAATTGACTAATTTTCTGTCTTTTAGTTGGTGAATCTGGCTCGTACTTACAAAATTAAAGCATGACAATTTTATTATAGTGTTTATTTTATTTTTATTAGCCTGTGATTAAATTTATGTACCGTCAGTGACTGTCCTGTGGAAGATTTTCTATATCCAACTATATTCTTCTATTAATGGGCTTTGCCCTCCTCTTTTCTGCATATCGACTGTCATATGTTTAAAATACAAATCGAGTTTAAATGTCCTTTATTTAAACTGTCATTTTCAAAATGCCTGTCTGTCACGACGGTTCATTTTAACGAGACGGAACATCAAAAGAAAGCTAATTTCCGGACGAGTTGTTTTCAAAAGGCTAGCATTTTGCCTGACTTAGTCATGGGTGGATGACTGCATTCTTCATAACACACTTGACCGTTGTTCTTTGACGTGTAGAAGAGTGTAATAATGTATACTGAGTTCAGATTCACGTGTATCTTCCTTCAGTATTATACATCACTCTTGCATTTTTAAATATGCAGATTTCATAAAGCGTCACAGTTTATATTATTTTTATATGTGCCTAAGACAGATTATATAATGACAAAGTACAACAGATCTATTAACGAGGAGCTCTAAAGTTTGACCTATTCAGCAAATATTTTTAGCCTGGTGAAGGGTGAAAATAAAACGTCGTGGTTAATGTTCTGGAAATCCCAAATTCAAATCTCAACCCGGAAATCGGCTATCATGACTAATGCCGTCCTTTCTTTTGTCATTCCGGGCAAATGACTGAGTAGGACCTTAAATTAGACAACAATCAATTCCTTCCATACAATTTAACTTGGAAGAGAACCACTCGCATATTTTTTGGAAAATATGTCAAATGAGACCACAAACAAAAATTTGGTTGAAAGGCTTTAACACTTTTTAATTATAATCTTTCTTAAAGTGTGAAAACACTGCGATAACCTTACGGACTGTTACTATATTTATAAACATTACAAAACATTTAGGAATGTACTCCTTTAAAGGGATATATCCGAAATTACAGACTGAAGTGCTCCAGTTCTGAGATCCCTGGTTGGCTGGTGAGTAATGGGGGGATTATACCTGTAGTTCGGACAGACACTGGTCGAACGTGGAGCAGTTCTATTTACCACATTTGCTCGATTTCTACACCCATTACAAAGTACTTATTTCCACTAAAGTTTAAAGTGGATAAAATGACGTTTTGCTAGTGATGATTATGGTTGTGCTTCAATACACTTGTTTTATAGTGTTTGTATTAGTGTGACTTCCGACGTATATTATGACATGATTACCAACCTTCGCGACCTCACAGTTCTCCAGGATCATTCCCAGTATTATGTATTTTATTCTTTACATTATTTTCTCTACATTATATCATATTCATATTTTATTATTGTTTTAGATAATATATTTTAATGACTAAATCTTACGTATAGTATATTTAATATACACAAATGAAGTTAAGTTGTAATTTCGGAACTATTTTATATTTTCGGCTTCATAAATGTGCTCATTGCCTCATTTCGAAATGATGAGATCCTCTCATAT